CTTGTCCTATCACTGGGCACCACTGAAAAAAAGACTGTTCCCATACCCCTGGCACCCTCCCTTTAAGTATTTATAAGCATTAATAAGATCCCCCCTCAGTCTTTTCTCCAGACTAAAGAGACCCAAGTCCTTCAGCCTTTCCTCACAAGAGAGATGTTCAATCCCCTAATCATCTTTGTAGCCCTTTGCTGGACCCTCTCCAGCAGATGTCTGTCCTTCTTGAACTGGGGAGCCCAGAACTGGACACAATACTCCAGATGTGGCCTCACCAGGGCAGAGTAGAGGGGGAGGATGACCTCCCTCGACCTGCTAGTCAGGTTTTGTTAGGTTTCATGAGAGATATGACTACCTGGTATTTCTCGGGGTCTCAGTGACATTTCCTGTGCTGGACACCATGGCCACCTCTACACTAGTGAATGGAATGATGCCAGCTGGCAACTCATCATCATGGTGAACCACCAGCACAGTCCTTGGTACGTGTTGCCTTGGCCAACTAGCTCAGTCCCAAGCAATTCTTCACTCCCACTAGCAGCAGTTTTAAACCAAGGTCTTGAAAAACCTGCAACTGAAAGAGATGAGTTGTTTGCAACCCAGCACTCTGGTATTCAGAGCACCCGCCTACAGAAAGAAAGTCTAAACCTCTGCCTAAACTTGGAAACTAATTTCCATGACAGCGTAGAGCTTTTTTACACCCTACTCTAGCCATAAATCGTTTACAACCTGCTCTTCACAAAGCCCTGCCCCACTCCCGTCCCAGTGGGTTTCCAGACAGCAGTTTTGTACTCTTGGAGCTGCATCAACTGAGAAGATGAGTCCCGGGAGCAGGTCAGGCTGGATAGAAAGGACAGTGGGTCTCCAGAGCAGGTGGGCAGGGGAGGGAAGTGATGTGTGTGCATTAGGGGAACGATTTATTTTGGGACCATGCACCCGCAGAAGTGTCCAGAGCTTTACACAAGCTCAGAGCAAAGGGAGTTTTGACTGTGCCATAGCCAGGGAACTGCTGTTTGTGAGTCCTCTAAAAATTGGCATCTGAGTATTTGCTCCGATTTCCATAACTGCACATGTGCCGGACGCATACCACGAGAGGGAGCCAGACACCGGAGCCCGACAGCTCTCCTCTCCCACCATCCCGACAGCCACTAGCTAGAGGAAATGCCACCCATTTGTCACACAGAGGAATATCAAATGGCAGCTTTCTCTAGAGAATTTTTACACGCCAAAATGAAGGGATAGAAGCTGCCCACACCAGCTTGGCTTTTGGTCCACACCGTATAAACACTAAACTACTTCCCTCAGCAAACAAGTGCAAGATTGTGACAGACCCCTTGGTGCTCTGTGCTGAAACAGATTTTTCCACTCTGCATTTGCGCCTGAAAACAAGACGATGAAAAGCAATGTGGCCACAGATGCCAACAGGCACAGACTTGCAGATGTTTCTCCTCCAGGCACCCTGCCTCTGGGACAGCTCAGCCCTTGCCTGGCCAGAGCAGCTGCCTCCCCAGCCAGCACATGGGATGAGCATCGCTCTCCCCCAGCACACCATGTGGTTATCTCCCCCTCCAGCCACAGTTCCATTTCCATTGCTGCCTCTCCACGCCGCTCCAGGGAAACCACAGACTGGGAAAAATTCTGGAAGTGAAATGGTGGATTCAGTCATAGTCAGCCTTACAGCAGGAGGCTAGCCCAGGTGACAGAGGTCCCTTGGCCTATGGTCCTAGGTCACTGAATCAGTTTTGGAGCATCATTTAGATTTGACATTATCTCCCATAACACTCATAGACAAGTTAATAAAGTACGGGCTAGCTAAGTGGACAGTGAGGTGGATTGACATACAGCTCAATGGAAAGGCCCAGAAAGTATCAGTGGCACAAAGTCCAGTCAGAGGCCAGTCACTAGTGGTACAATCCAGGGGTAATATATACGGGGCCAAAACTGCTTAACATCTTAATTAATGACCTAGTTGATGGGGTAGAGTGCAACCTCAGCAAATTTGGGGAAGATA